AAAGCGACAAAGGCCAGCTCTCCTATGATACCTGTCAGTTTAAAGATATTGCAGGCCACGACAAGCTGGAACTGGTTTACATAACACGCGAGGGCTGTGAGAATAGACAAGTGGATAAAATTCCGTGAGTCCCCAGGAGCGAAGCTGAGTTCTATTTTATTTATAAGATATTTAAAAGGATTTTTGGTATTTTTGGTAATAAAAGACGATGGGGTAGAATTAATGCTAGAAATCACTTCAACCGTAACAAAACCCCAGCTTATGTCTTCGACAAAGGGTTACTCCGCTAGATCTTTGGGTTAAGCATAATCGATTGGAGCTCCTAATTCCTTAAGCTGGTATCGGAGTGCTTCTGAATCTTTCCATAGTTACGTCTGGGCAAGTGAACGATGCATATGATATTCATTTGTATGTCCGCATTAAATACGTATATATGCACGCTTAATTTTTCCCGACATACGTTGTTACGAGCTATTCGAAATATATTATGTTTCCCAGATGAAATCATCATTTTAGTTGCGCTTCTTGATGAGAGTAGTCTGAAACAGGCGATGAGCAGAGACAATTTAGCCTTACCCGTCTGTCTGTATGCTTGAACGCGTCGTTTTCAGAAGATGTAAGTGCCAGAGAATCGAAATTTCTTTACCAGGTCCGTGTAAGTCCCGCGCATATAAAGTTTTTCTGTAAAAGTCGATAACTTCCCTTTATTTTTTTTTATCGATTGAATCATTATCGAAAATAAGTTAATAAATTTTACCTGCTAAATTTTTAGAGCGAGAATCGTTAAACTCCAAATGTAGATTTATGTTAAAATAATTATTGAAATATCAGTTGCTCAAAGGGTTCAGGGGATCACGTAGTCAAGCAGCCTTTTCTATACATTAATTCACATTAATTCAAATTATCGAGAACTATTGTTAAATTAATTTTGTTCAGGGATATACACTTGTTTTCCATTTATCACGATTTTCCATTTAACGGGGTACACGCTATCGAGACTCTACCCTATATGCATTTGATCAACTTTCCAGCTTCGAATCTAACGGTAGGTTTCCGACTTGCAGTAATCGTTAACCATGACTATATAAAAATGTACCATTTAAGCTTGAACACGCAACTGAATTGAAGCTGAATGAAACTTGACAGAGAGGTACACCCAGTCATTAGTTGGGGCGGAGTTTGCGGAGATACCCTCCGATACGATTCGAATTCAATCCAATCATACATAGGTATTTACACATTTTTAAATTCATAATCAACTATACACTCTTCAATTTTTTCGCCGTTTGGCCCTAGTTAGATTGGGAAATTCTAATGAGGCACGTTATGAGCTGCAGTTGGCAGACGAAAATTGCATCTATGAAGCTGAAAACACGCCCAGTTAATATGTGTATTTTTTAGCATTTAGCTAATATCTGATACATTATTGTGACTTTAGCTAAATGCGCCTAACTCATCATTAGGTACGTAAGTATGAGTTTGGGCTCCTGAAAGCGGACATTAGCTCGTTTAGCTCCAACATATACTTATTCCGAATACACGCACAGTCGAACTGTGAATATTCAGTGCCACTGCCACGCCCCATAAATAATTGAGCCTGCAATGGAAGCAAATAAAACGAGAATGACTTACCATTGCTTCTCGCAGTTCGAATTAAGGGCCCGCGATACAATATCATGTCTCGATTGACATTAACGATAGGTTGGCTGTGTCTGTGTCTGATGCGGCCAGACGTGGCCTGGGCCGATCCTTTGCTAGTGGAAATATCCAATGGGCAGCTGCGTGGAAGGGACAGGGGCGACTACCATAGCTTTGAGTCGATACCGTATGCGGAACCCCCGATTGGCAATCTTCGCTTTGAGGCCCCGAAACCTTACAAACGTCAGTGGAGCGAGGTGTTTGATGCCACCAAGGCGCCAGAGTTTTGTCTGCAGTTCAGTCTATTTCTTCAGGGTGCAATAGTCGGCAAGGAGGACTGCCTTACCGTGAGTGTGTACAGGCCAAAGAATGCGAGCCGGAGCAGCTTTCCCGTCATGGCCTACATTCACGGAGGAGCGTTTATGTTCGGAGGTGTCATGGAGTATGGGCAGGAGCTCATCATGTCTGCCGGCAATTTCATCTTGGTGAAGATCAGTTATCGATTGGGACCTTTGGGTTTCCTGAGCACGGGCGATTCAGATTTGTCGGGAAACTTTGGTTTGAAGGATCAGCGTTTGGCTCTACAATGGATCAAGGAGAATATCGCCAGCTTTGGCGGAGAGCCGGAGAATATTATGTTAATGGGTCACTCTGCAGGCGGCGCTTCAGTTCACTACCAACTGTTGTATGGAGGACTAGAGGGTTTGGTTAAGGTGGCTGTTTCGCTCAGTGGAACTGCATTGTGTCCTTGGGCTACTCAATCTGATGAAAGACAAAAGGCGTTGAAGCTGGGGCATGCATTGGAATGTAACGTGAATGGGAATTCATTGGAACTGAAGCACTGCTTGCAGTCAAAGGACCCCAGGGACATAGTCGGCGCTGTGGAGCACTTTATGGTATTCGGCTACGTACCGTTCGCGCCCTTTGGCCCAGTTATTGAGTCTCCCGACACTGTAGAGCCTTTCGTCACCCAACATCCTGTCGAGGTTATGAAAGGTGGAAAATATTTGCAGATTCCTTGGCTTTTAACTTATACTGTCGAGGAGGGTGGCTTCAACGCGGCAATTTTCCTGGAAAAAGATGATGAAGACGACAGGGAATTAATTGAAGTATTAAACATGCGTTGGAATGAACTGGCACCAGATCTATTGTTTTATCGCCACATAACGAACAATACTGAAGATCTGAATAGGTATTCGCAAGAACTGAAGTACCAATATTTGGGGGATCGCAACTTCAGTTTTGACAGTTATTTGGACTTGCAGCGCATGTTTACGGATATTTTGTTTAGGAACCCTATTCAGAGAACTCTTGAATTGACTCGTTCACAACGAAAGAGTCCATTTTACTGCTACGCTTATGATAATCCTCCCGATTTTGGGTTGGGAAACTGGCTGTCTGGACGGACTGATATATCTCTGGGTAAAGTGTAGTTAAAGAAAATCTATGGCTTAGTTCAAACTAAACAACTAATGTTTTGCAGGCACTTTACATTGCGACGATCTTTACCTCATGCTGAACAGCGTCGTACATGCAAATTTGCGTTCGGATGAGCAAATTATATCTAAAAATCTCTTACAAATGCTGTTAGACTTCGTGGAAAGCGACAAAGGCCAGCTCTCCTATGATACCTGTCAGTTTAAAGATATTGCAGGTCAAGACAAGCTGGAGCTGGTTTACATAACACGCGAGGGTTGTGAGAACAGACAAGTGGAGAAAATTCCGTGAGTCCCCAGGAGCGAAGCTGAATTTTATTCAAAAGATATTTTAAAGGATTATGAATTTTTTGGTATTTAAAAAAATAAAAGACGATGGGATAGAATGAATTCGATGATAGAAAGCTCTTCAACACTGGTCCCAGGCTCTCAGTTAAGGGTTACTCCGTTATATCTTCAGCTTAAATAGGTTAGCTCATCGTCATGACAGCTTTAATGTGGGTGCTTAACATCTTTTCGCATAATCGATTGGACCTCCCTAGTTCCTTAAGCGGATTTTCGTCGAGTACGTATTTGGGGCAGCAAGCCGCATGCCAGATTTATTACGCATACGTTGGGCACTTTTTATGGCTGCGAAGTGTGAGAGAGAGTCTCAAAAGTGCAATTCCGAATAGTAGTATTCGAAATACAAAAGAAACAATCTTCATAAAATCTCGTATAATATAAGCAATTACTTGGCTTGCAGGGTAAGGCATTTTACGATTTCTTACTTGTTGGCTGTAGCTGTTGCCTCAGTTGAGGTTCGACGCGGAAACTGAGCATGAATCTGGAACTGGAGTTGTAGTTGGAGTTGGAGTTGGAGTTTGGGCCAAAGCCAATGCTGCGGTTACTCAATCAATATTGGATTTTTACCACAATCAGAAGCGGACAGACATATGAAGAATTTATTGTATGCGCTTGGCGGGGTTTGTTTTCCGGACAACAGAAGAGAGACAGAGCGAGGGTAAAATCGAGAAAAACGAAGGAAAACAAATAGTCTGGATGTACAAATAAATTAAATTAAAACGTATACAAACATAAATTATTTAGAGATAATGTAGTGGGCCAATCGCATGTCGAATGCCAAATGCAAAAGCAGACAGCCACAAGCCGCACATAAATGCAATAAAAGCAAATTCAATTGGCGGCCATAACGAAAACGAAAACGAAAACCAAAATGAGAATGAGAATGTGAATGAAAATGAAAATAAACGAAATGGCGGAGCACAAAGCATAGAACAGCAACAAGAAGTCAGACGCAAACAAAGACAAATACGAGAAGTGCCTGCAAACGAATTTCGTATAAATCAAACCCCCACAAATGGGAGCTCGATCCGAAGCCGAAACTAAAACATGGCCAGAGCGCGCACCACAAGAACAAAAAGTATATATAAGAAATATGCTTTGGCCTTTATTTGTGGACGCCTTGGTTCCATTCTGTTTACCTGCTGCCCGCTGGAGCTGCTCCAGGGAGCTGCTTGGCGCTCACCTGGGCAGCTGCTTCATCCGGCTGAACAGTGCACAAGTACAAATTTACAAAATTGGCCAAAAAGTGTTGACGTCATTAAATGCCAGAAAGTCCAGTTAAGCGAGAAATGGCTCCACAATACAAAGCACCAAATGCAAAATAAATAAATTCTAACCAATCAAGCTGTAAAGTTCGTAAGTTCATTGTGTGCTTGCTCGATTGCAACGAAGCTGCTCTCGAATCTCACAAATGAAACTCGAGATTCTTTTCATTTTTCAGCTTTCCTTTTATTTATTTTTATGTATTTTGCATATTTTTGCTCTGGACCTTGCAATGAACTAAGCATACCCATAATACACTCTAGTTGCACAATGGATTACACTTTGTGCTTGTAAATTTAAGTTCCAGACATCAGTTTATAAAATTCGGTGATTGGCATCAATTATAGATTGTTATATTTATAGAATGAAATATAATTGGATTTTATTAGGAATTTGTTCAACAATTTAAAGAAAAGTTGGTTGAGTGAGTTTGCTTTAAATATTTTTCCTTAAATATATTTCCATAAAGGTCTAAGTTATTTAATATAGTTGCA